GATTAGCCATGTCTTAATAGCATAGTAATAAAGAGCTTGAAGTTAAAATATTACAAAAAAAAGTTCCTTTAGAAATTTAAAATAATCAAATTTATATTTGGCATTAAATAGGCAATACAAAACTTTATGGTACTATCTTTCAAGTAGAAGGTGGTAAAGATAGAGTTGCTTATAAGAATCTTGCTACTTGTACTTACAAAGATTTAATATATTAATTTATTCTTTTTCTTCAAGGACCTTTAGTATCTATTAGTTGATCCATATCTAGATTGTAATATATTTGGAGTTATAAATCAAATGAGTGATTTTTATTGGAATAAAAAACAAACATGTGGCTTAGCCTATAATCCTTATTATAAAAAATGCTAGTTAGAAGAAGTAATCTATTCCAAAAAGACATTCTTTTACAATTGTTCTTAAACTTTAAAAGATTGGATCAACCAAGAATTGCAAATTAATATTAATTTATGTAATTTTTTATTTTCTCTATTTTTTATATAAATTAAAAGTATTAAATTTTAGTTCGTAAAAAATATAAATAAATAAATATATATTAATTTTTTTTTTATTATATTATATGAATTTTTTGCCACTTTTTAAAATACATACTTAATTTTTATGAGCTTGTATCTAAACTTTAGCAAATAACTTGCAAATTTAACAAAATTTGCATCTTTATCTTAATTTTAGATATCTGACAACCATTTCAAGGATATTTAGTAAAATCAATCTTTATATAAATGTTTTTGAGCATGGTGCTAACGACCTTAATGCCGATCTAAATAAAGAATTTAAAATTATTCTAATAACTAATAATATATGTAATACATTGTTTAAATTATAAAGGTAAAATATACCAATATAAGATTAAGTTGTAATGATTTTGTTTAGTAAAGTAGAAGAGTAGCTAACTAAAATTTAATTATTAAGTATAGCAATAAAAAAATGTGTTGGATTCATGAATGCTCTTACTCTTATATACAATCTAATTTAATATCTTCTTTTATTTTCAAATAATAATAATAAATAGATCTATACTATTCAATAAGTTATTATATATTGTAAAGTATCAATATATAATTTTTATGCATATTAATTACATATTTGTTTTAAAAAGATTTTTTACTAAAGTAATTATATCTTTAAACAATACTTAGTCAATATAACTACTAAAAAATTAAAACAATGTAATTCTAGTAGTCATAAACCAAATTAAGTTTAAATTTGATTTATATGCTATATAAGCACATATTGTTGATTATGTTAATTTTAATACTACACATGTTAACTATTTTATTATTCTTGATACTTCCATTTAAGAATTAATACTATTTATTTAATATATATACTACTATATTATGGATAATTTAACTCAAATAAAATATTAAATATTTTCACTATATTTGTATGTTATCTGAAATGACATGAAATAAATAAGGAGCTATTGGAAGGCCAAACTATAGCCAATAGATTAGATATAATTGTACATACTTTCAACATAAAAATAAGATTATTTTTTTCAAAAAATTGAATAAAAATACATAATTTTCTTATAAGTTTTGAGCTTATTTGGATAATAAAATAGAAAAAAAAACTTTATGTTTTTCCTACTTTTGGGCTTTAATTAATATCAAAAGATGCATACTATATAAGAACTAGAATTTTAGATTTGTATCAAGTTTCTATCAAAAGACAACATTGAACAATATGAAATAGTGAGTACTTATTTTTTGTGTGGTCTATGCAATATTAAAAATCTAATAGCTTTTTGAATAAAGAATAGCATTTGTAGCTAGTGTCACGGACATACAACTGAAGAAGATTCTAAAAGGTTCTAGAAGATTCTAGAAGATACCAATAGGTTCTAAAAAGGCTCTTGAAGGTTCTAGGAAATTCCAATAGATTCTAAGAAAGTTCTAGAAGGGCATAGGAGGTCCTAGAAGGTTCTAAGAGGCTTTAGATGATTTAGGAAGTTGCTAAAGAAGGATCTTAGGCTTGCTTTGTTTTCAAGCCTCATAAAAACATTTCAAGAAGATTCCTAAGACCTAGTATCTATAAGAGTCGAGGTTAAGGGGATCCTCAGTCTCGACAACTCACTTCTTGTGGTTTAGCCAAGACCTTCTTGTCTTGTATCTAGTTGTTGTTTTAATGTCGAGTTAACTCCATTCCTTCGTCTTGAATCCTTGTCTTGTATATGGTCCCTAGTAGCAAGAGATATTCCAATAAGATTTGCAAGCATATAATTTGAGGTAAAGATAGATAAGTTTTATACCTCCGACTTTGTAATAGATGCAATTTTATATGCAATCATATATTCCTTATTCATAAAAATTATAAGGTCATTCTATACAATTAATTTTTATACAAAAAATTTAAAACATATATATGCATCAAAGTACATGTTGGTGTTGATAAATATGAAATATTTCTTCAAATTTTTGTTGAAAGAATTTAATCAAGTTGTAATCATAGTTGTAGATTCAATAAATGAAGTAAAGTTATATCTAAATATAAGATATGTTAACCTACTTAAAAGCATTTATTTACTATTTTTGCCCAAATTTTACTATAAGTAGCCATAGATAATGCATTTGATGGTATACTAACCAAATTAGTACAATATTCTCTTTAATGACAACATAACTTTGATTGATATTATTTCACATGGTACATTGCAACAAATGATGTTTCTTAGATACATTTTATTCAATCCAAAAAATAAATGTTCATTCAATGTATTTTTTATAGATTTTTTTTATAAAACCATGTGTATATGATAAATAAAAAAATGTAGGTTGTTTGTCAATATGGAGCTCTAGTAATAAGGTTCATGTATTTTTTATTTATTATATTAGATGAGTGTTATATTTTTTAGTGTGGAATCAATATTTTTTGAACATCTTCATGTAAGTTTATTAAACAAACACTTGAAGTACTTGCTATGCTTTGAAACTATCGCAAGGTAACAAAAAGTGAGATACATGTCTATGGATAGTATAAATTGTTCAATATGCTTTTAAACTTTGTATCTTTTTTATCAATTTTATTTATTTATATTATTTCTTTCACTTGTTTGCAACTTGAGATATTATAGAAGTCCTAAATTTATGACATATAACATCATTGATTACCAAAAAATAGCCTAATTGCTAATATAAAAAATAAAGGACTTCTTTTATTGAAAAAAAATCTTATTTTTATTGATAAAAAATTAATAATTTTTTTGATATATTTTTAGTAGAATATGCTATAAGTAGCTATAAAATATATATTTCTATATGAAAAAATCTTAAAATTATAAAAATATATTAGTAAAATTTAATAAAGATATATATTTTTTTAAAATTTTGAATAATTTTTAAGCATTTGCTATATAGACAAATGTTATTTAAAATATAGATTTTATAATGTTTTTTTTTGATAGTCTTTGTAATTTTTAGTTTTTAATATTTTTTACATAGCATGTTATTCATTGTCATTTGCACAAATGGTTAAGTTACAAAAACCATTGCTTCTTTGGAAATTTTAATATTTTATTTGACTGGCAAAAAAGACATTATATTTTGCTTTTAAAATATCTATTAATAATATTTACAATCTAAAATACAAATTTTATAAATTCAAGCTATACTATAGTTATTTGTAATATAAAGCTAGTTAGAAATAAAGTACTTGAATGACATAAAAAATATGTTAATATAATAAGTTGTAATCTATTAGAATTTTTGCAAACACTTGACATGTTGTTCAAAGACAAAGTAGTATTATTTGATAGTTATTTCTATCAATGCGCTTATATCATTTTTTCCCCCCTATTATTGTTGCTTCTTTGAAGGAGTTTGATTTTTAATTATTATTTACTATCTTAATAAAAATATGGAATCAAGAATATATCTTGCTTTGAGACCATTTGTGTAGTAAATTTTTGTGAGTGGATAATAATGAATTTTCAATGAAGAAGGAAACAATCTTCAAACAAATGTTTTAGGTATGCAAGTTGGTTTATATTAGAATGCTTCCATTCTTATTGAAACCCCAAATCTCTATGGTAACAAATTGTCACTTCATGCCCTTAACTATTTTATTCTAGGCTTAAAAATGCTGTGTTATATTTGGATTGTAACCTTTCCACCAACCATGGCCTATATACTATCCAATTTCATTAAGAAAGAAGTAAACATCTTATTACTCTCTTGTAGAAAATTATTACTCTTGTAGTAAATGGTAAAATGGACAATGACCTTGTGGTACTTCTTCTCCAACATATGCAATGACCAACACTCAATCTCCGATTTTTTATTTTTTATTTTTATTTTTTTTGTGTTTTTTTGTTTGTGGTTTCCTCCACCCATTGCTTGAAAAAGCATCTCAATGAGGAAGAAATAAGCTCTGTTAAAAGAAAAAGAGTATAGGACATGAAACCAAAACCAAAATGCGTTCAAACCACAATCATTTGATCTCTCTTTTCACCAAACAGCGGGCTGATTAAATCACAAGGACCTGACTCTGTGAATGTGAGACTAAACGCTGCAACAATCCTCTCAAGTTTCCAGCATCCTATCACAACGTCTGTGTGTGTGTGTGTGTGCGCGCGTGCGTATTGAGCTTTCCTAGAGCAATGCAAACTTGTGTTTGTTAGCCGGTTAGCCGCTCACTTTTCATCTTGCTGTTCTTTATGATGAGGTTACGGTTGCCCTGCATTTCTTCCTCCAGATGGGCATTTCCTGCTACTGCAACATTTCCAGAATTCCAAACCCCACAACCCGCATGCCCAGCTCCATGACAAACGCGGTTGCTCTCAGTGTAATCACAAAAGTGTCGGTCTCCGACCCTCTAAGTTGTTGCACCAAATGAACTGCGCCGCTCGCGCAGCCTTGAAGCTGCGACGGCTCTGTGCACATTGTACCTTGGCAGTCAAACAATCAGACAAACAGGAATCACGCACGGCGTAGAAACGCGGCAAGCAGATCGCATCTCATCCAAGACGTCCACACGCCACAAACGTAAAGGATTTTTCGTAGCTTGGTATTTCTCACGCAGATGGTAATTACAAGAAGTTTGCAGTGCTGAGTGACTCGCCGCTAAACTGAGTGAGAGCCCGGAACTTTCTGCCGGTATGTACTAGGACGCGGGAAATGCTGCACCCGGCGGATCGGCGTTAGCGCTCCCTTCTGTCGACTGAATGCATTGTCTGCGCATTCGTAAATATGCACATGGAGGCATCTAGATGGAGATGCTGTTGGGAACTCCCTTGTTTGTGAGCCCAGGGCCAGATTTCGGATACAGGAGCTCGTATGGAACTTTGACGGGACCGTTTCGGTTCTTGTTCTTGGGGTCTGCGTTCCTTCCCTGGATGAGGTTGCATATCTCGTCGACTCTCTTGCTGAATCTCTTGAACACGCCCTTGACCCTTTCGTCGTCGGTCCAGTTGTCGCCACGCTCTCCCAGGTACTCCTCGTTGGAGGAGTGCGTGGAGAGGATCTCGATGGTGGTCATGTTCAGTTTGGTCATGACGGCATTGGCGAGCATGGACAGCAGATACTTCTCTGGGTTCTGTTGCATAGCCTCCCACTCCGGGGTGCCTTCCTCAGGGATGAGCTTGCGCGTCATGGCGGGATGGTTGGGCATGAACCCGGCGTACAGATACTGGCCAAAGTTCACGGCAGCGTGATGGCACGAGGCGACCCAAGCAACAGTTGTGACGATCTGCACCAGATTGTCCTTCGAGTCTGCCTCGATCCAGCCTTCATTTATGTCGGCGTGGCCCTTCGTTCGCAGTTCGGTCCACCAGTTTTGAAGCTCCTCGTCGGCTTGAACCGCCCTGTCGTCGGGGTAGAAGAGGTCGATGTGCTCCTTGACCCATCCACGGATTGCGGCCCAGAGCTCCAGTCCATCCTTGGCATACGGGTAGTCGTCGATCACCAGCCTCAGCCCGTGCGGAGCACTTGCGTCAGGCACCGCCATTCCCCTGGCTCACACACAATCGCCCCTGCAATGTCAAGAAGCATGTCCACGACCAGCGGCGAGCGCAAATGCTCGCACTGCAAAGCAAGTATGGGCAGCGAAGCGAGGCGCGGCGCGTACCTCTTGATCAAGTCATTGGGAAGGGCTTCGTCGACAAAACGCCATCCAGCGTAGACTTTTGATGAGATTTCGAGAGCGTACTTCTGGGGAGTGAAGGTCTGCTCTACGATTCCCTGGGCGCAAATGAGCGACTTGCGCGCAGACTGGTTGATGTCCATGGTATTCTTGAAGTGGGCGACGAGAGCCTTGTGCACCGGATGCATGATGCTCAACTGCCTGTTGGTTGCGATGATGAAGGGCTCGATCACGGCGTGGGTCCGCAACCTGGCATCACAAGTCATCGCTTCAGCTAACGGAATGCGTGATTACAATGCCAACGTTAGTCAAGGCTGGTTCGCTTTGCGACAGTTTTGTGGGACCCAAGGTGGCTGAGCAGTTACCAGTGGCTGATGACTTGGTGGAATGAAGCATCGTTGCTTAGAACGTGCGCTTTTGCAAGTTCCCATCCCCAGTTCTTCGCTGCGCCCGCCTTGGCAGGGAGGAAGACCCGGGACTTCGGGCTACCTCCTTCCGCTCCTGGAAGAGACAACTCAATACAAACGGGTTTCAACGTCCCTTCCTCGGTCAGGAAGAAGAGCGTCCAGGCTGCGTAAGCTTGAGTGGATTTCAGGTCATTGATGCGCTGAATGTAGCCGAGTAACCGTTCTCGGTAATCCAGCACGAACAGCCTGTTCTGCCGCAAGGCCTGGGTCAAGCAAAGCCGACACAAACTGTGAGAACTTGGTAAGGAGATTTGGTCGCGCGTGATCAACAGGCTCTAGTTACGTGAGTGTCGTGGAGCAACGTGCTCCGCGATTCGAATCCGTGGAACTCACCTCCTGGACGGTGAGCCCTTCCAGGTGAGGCTGCACCATTTCGGCGGTGGCGGCCATGTCTTTGTAGGGTGGAAATGTCTTGAGAGCTTCGATCACTATGGGGTTCATGCCGGCCAAAACCTGACGACCGAACTCGACGTCTTCGGTCCAGGCATCCTTGTCAGCTATCACCACAAAGCAGCACCACAGGTGTCAGACGCAGACCCATGGAACGATCGGGAGAAAAGCGACGTCGCTCATAGCTGCGATTCCATTCAATTGAGCTTACAGACCGCAAACGTCCGATCAGAGTTTTGGGGTTCAGGTACCAGCGATGATTCTCGGCGTGGGGTACTTGAACACGTTCTTGTTGTCACCAGAGGCGAATGCGAACTGGCGAATGAGCTCGAACGGCTGCTGCTGGTTGCTGATGAGCTCCTGCACCGAGGACTCCTGCCCAAGCGGCACGTACAGCTGCCGCACCTCGTCGAAGCTCCGGAAATCCTCGTCGTGAGAGCCCAAGTTGGCGATGAGCTGGTGCTTCTTCCCCTTGAGGCTGGTGCCGAGAAACCCAGATTTCTTGACGTCATCAAACTGTTCGTCTCTGGGAATGTAATTGTTCGTCAGGCTACCTTTCGGAAGGGTCTCTGTCACTCCATCTGCTCACGAACAGGGACGGGAATCAACAGAAACCTCAACACCCCGAATCGAACACCGAATTTTAAACAAAAAGAAAATACAAAAAAACCAACCAACTAACACACCAACAACCAAGTGCGAGTTCTCGCCCTCTCCCCCGTTTGCAGCTTTCGGAGAAGACGACGAAGTGAGGGGCTTGGAGTACCTGGGTTCATCATCCTGCCAGTGCGGCAGCGGCGCGGGTACGGATACTCCGCCGACCCCCCGAGAATCGGTCGACGTTCCTCCGGCGTCCCCAAGTCATTGTAAACATCGTAGTCGTAGATTCTTTCCCATTCCTTCCTCTCTCCTGTTCCATCCCCTTGCAACTCCTTCAGCTCGTCCTTCCTCAACTTCCTCAAGCCGGGGGGAGTCTGAGCAGGTGTATACACCTGCAACAGCCGCAACACAAGGACGTGACGGTGTCAAAACCTCGGAGCCCGTTGCATTCATTGCGTCGGCGATCAGTGCTTTCATTCGCGAAGAGATCGATGATAGTTGGTTCACCTTATTGGCAAAGAAGATCCGACCACCTTTGTCCTTCTCGGACGCGTACACCCACGAATCGCAGAGGAAAGTGACGACTCTGCGGTCGGGCATAGTAACCTGCGCTTTGGTGATCTTGAACTCGGTGGTGATGTTGAGCTGCGGGAGCACAAGGTTTTTGTGTCCGTTGTGCAGGATGATCGCCCCCGGGGTACCAAAGTTCCTCGATACAAAACAATCCAGGTTGAAACAGAACAACTTCGGTATCAAAAGGTTCCTAGGCTGCGTCCATTGTTCGAAGGTCACCGACTTACTCACCCTTCCAGAGCCAGTCGCTGCAAAATTCGACAACAAGCTCTCAGAACATTGGTGAAGCGGGAAGGGAGCTGCAAGATGCTGAATATCTTCTCCGCGCACCGCCGGGAGAAGAAATTCGAAACGATTGCCACCTGCCTGAAGCCAACAATTCTAAGGGGCAGGTTAGTTCGGTTACCAGGATCGACGTCATTGCTGACGAGTTGCAAGGTGACTTGATTTTTGATGAGCTCCTGTCCCAACTCGCGGAGGTCGCCCAAGAGGTTTCCGACATCGAGGCCGGCGAAAGTGGATCTCATGAGCACGACCGAAATTTGTAGCCGTACGTCGTGGCTATTCGCAGGTCTGGTGTCGAATAGATTCCCGAGGATGGGGACCTTTCCCAGCAGCGACGGATGGTTCGTCAACACCGTGTCCTCAGCTGAAGAGGATGTCACTGTCAACGGGACCGTCTCCTTCGCAACCTCTGGAACGGGGTCCGGCTTCGGCTTCTGCAGTGAGACCTCTCCGCCTGAGAAGAGCATAAAAAGCTCCCTAGGATTCTTGAAGAAGAAATCATCCTTCCTCACAGAGCTCATGACGGCGGACGCCATCGCTTCTTCTGAGTGGATCAACGTGCGCGTCTACGCGTCCCGCCGAGGCTCTAGATTCGCTTTGATGTCAATCGTCAGTCGACTACCGACTCGGCACCTCCACCGACAATCTTCCAAAACGCCGCACACTCGGAACACCAGCCCACGCTCACTTCGTGTCGTACAAACCAACAAAGCACGCAATCTTGAGTCCAGCTTCTGCACCTTGCTGCAATCTCCCGGACAACAACGAGTCATTGGTCAATGCAACGGCAGCATCCGAGGACAAGCCCGGAAAAAGGACGGCTGACCAGCTCATGCTAAAAGTGTGTGCAACTGCTCCCTTTCTGCAAACCATGCACGTAGAGTACCGCTGGCAGTCACGACACACAGGATGTTCGGCGTTCCAGTCGGCAACACTGAAGGAGAACATCTGCTGGCGTCTTCTGCAAAGCATGCACAGTGCGAGGGAAGCATTCTCATGTCTCTAAGCATTCATGACGACCAACCTGATGGGCTACGTACCTCGCTCACACGTCGAGTGCCCCCTCCTCTGTCGGAGGAACAAGACTGTTCTGTGCCGTGTCGGCCGCACCGGAAGTTCTAGAACACCGTCGCCCAGAGAGAGGCACCAGCTCAAGCGGCAAACACCCAGAAACAGCGCGTAGTCTAGTCAACCTGCATAATCAGGACGTGATCGACTCACACCGATTCGACTTCCATGTCCAGAATGTGGCCTTATATACGCTTGGCTGCGGCGACTGTTTAGCCGGGACCCCACCCCTGCTGCTGGGCAGAGGGTTGGCTTAATTCCGCGGAGTTGCTGCAGCGTGCTCCAGCTCTTGCACTCTGCGACCTCGGATTTTGCAAGGATAAGTCCACGGTGACCGGAAGCCAGGAAGCCGCGGGCCACCTGCTGTGACCAACTCCGCTGCATGCTGAATGTTGCCATGCAGAGAACGGAAAGGGATTTAGATATAACCAGTTTGTATCCTGTGCTTTCAGTAACTATCATCGACCGGTAGCTAAGACTGTGTGGTCTCCATACTCAAAGAGTGTGCTTTCCAAAACCCACCGGAAGGTAGTATACCATGCTGTCCATCTCCAGTGCTGCGCTTTCCGTAATCAAAAGGCAGTTCAGATCCTGTACTTTCCATAACCAAATGGCAGTTCAGATCCTGTACATTCCATAACTATTATTCCTTAGCAAAACAGTAATGAAAAATTTCCTTAATCCGTTGCATTGTGATTAGCTCGTAATATTGTAAGCTGTTTTCCATATCTTATGTAAGTTCTTTAGAGTATGATGCTTTTTGGTATTGTTATTTGATACAAAAATGTATCTTTTGAAGCATGGGCAGTACCTTCTAGTCTAGTGCTTTATTTCTTTTATTTTAAGATCCTCCTTTTCTCAAATCTTTAGATGAGCACTCAATTTTTTGTACAAAACAAAGTTCTAATATATCATACAAAAAAAAACATTATTAGAATCAATGCCTATTTTAAAGTTCTTGTATATCAATAGGAAATATATGTTTTTTGCTTACAACATATCTTGTTATTTTTATAAATATTTTATACACATAGAAGTTGTACCTTTCTACTTAAACACCCAATTGAAATGAATCACCACACATCTAAGTCACGTTTTTTATCTGCAATATTTTAAATCTTTTGGTATTAGTTGTTTTTGTTTATTTAAGATATTTTGTATTTTATCAAGTATCAAAAGACAAAAATCTCAAGAGCTTTTATTATTTGGTCATATATATATATATATATATTTGCATTTGTATTTTTGTGCCTTAATAGATTTATTTCATTTGTATGTTTTTTTATTTTTTTTATTTTTTTATTTTTTTTCCCATACTTATATCTGAAGTAAGTATTATATTTATCTTTATTAGAGGGTGATTGGAAATAAAGAAATTTATTTTTTTCATGTATAATATATACTTGAATCTTGTTTCTTAGAAAATCCTTTGTAATAATATATAATATATTCAATTTGGCCAAGACTCTCATATAATTTCTTATATTAATCTAAAAATCATTTAAACCTTGTATTTTTGTACATGTCATTTAAGTGAAATCCTGCCTAAAAATACCAACATAATGTGATGTCTTTTATAGTCTTTAATATTGTGTAAGATGAAGATTTTTTCATATTATCTTCAATCATATTTTGATTTACACTCAATATTTAATATTTACAGATAGTTAATGGATTATCTACCGAAATTTATTAAAAAATATTTTATATTTTATAAAAAATAAGTTGCACATATATTGATGAAATTTATTTTGCATAAATGAATATTTTATATTGTAATTAAAAAGTTCAATAAAATAATTGTGATTTCATATTATTAACCAAGTAAATTAGGTGTTTGAATCAAAGAATGGAATTTCTAATTGAGAAAAAACAACCCATTTTAAAATATAGTTTATCTATCAAAGACTTGAATCTCAAAGAATTAAAAGAACAATACATTCTTGTATCACTCAAAAAGGCTAAAAAATCACTCAAAGATGGTATGATATTAAACTAGAATGACTATTGCTAAAGACAAGAAGACTAGAAAATCTTAAAAGTAGACTAAAGATTAGAAAGGCATTATTAAGAGTGAAGAAGGCTTCATTCTTACCTCCATATATACTATTCAACTAAAAGCTATGTAATGACGTTTTATAGGATCTTTGACATGTATCCAATTTGCAAGAAACATGTCTTAACTTACAAGACAAGTTTCTTATATGTATGCCACATTATTAGCTTGTATTATAAGCTACTGATATGGCTATATTATTAGCTAAGTTTCTTACCTATGAATTAATTATAGACAAATATAAAGGTGAAACCACGTCTATGGAGATTCTATTTTTTTTTTTTTAATAAGATATTATCAAATTAACTTATATTTATCTATTTATAATATTTAATTAATTATTAGAGTAAATATAGTTATCTATGATATAAAAATAGAAGGTAAAATATAAATTTTTCTAAACAATATTATTTTATTGCAAAGATTTGCTATTCTTCATCTTGATTTGATAGATGTTATGAATGAAAACCATCAAATTTCTTTGCTACATTTGGAAGATTCTTAGGTGGCTTCCATGTGCATTCACTAATATCATATTTTTACAAATAAATAAGATATTTCAACCTATTTTGATATTGCTTTGAGTCTAAGACTCTTTCTATCTTGAACTCTTGATTATTATCTATTTTTATAAGAAGAGGTTGTATTTTTCTTCTTTTTGACATATTCATTGCTTTATATGACTTAAAAAAAACATATAAAATACATGATGGATTTTCATAGAATTTGATAGATGTAATTAATAAATAATTGGATTAATCTATTTACATATAAAAATGGTCTAAATTAACAGTAATCTAATTTGTCACAAGTGGAAGTAGTCTTAATATAACAACAAAGTAATTATATCTTATCATCAGCATGGAATTGAAGTTGTTCCTAGTAATAAGCATTCAAATTAATCTTTTTTTATTTTTTATTTTATTTTTAATTATACTTTTGTATGGCGTGATTTCCTATTTAAGAATATATTGGATATCTAGTTGTAGAGAGATTAGTTCTAAGTTATTAGCCAAGATTCAATAAGTAATTTATTCCTATTATAAAAGATAAATAAATATATCAATATAGAAAAATATTTTAATAACAAAAATACTTTATATTTAAGAAGATTTATATACAAGGCTTTTTAAAGTATCTAAAAATATCCTAACATCCTTTGATATATCAAATCATAACTAATTATTTGACAATAAGTTAGATTTCTTATAAATTCAAAGAAAATCCATAATCTTTTTACAAAAATCCATCTTTATGTTATAATTTTTTTAAAGTTCTATATCTCCATCTTTAACATATATGTAAATTCTTGGCTATCAAAAACTCCTTTATTTTGTATAAAATGCCCAAATTGAAGCAAAATCCTTTCAAAATATTTTTCTCCTTAGATGATATTTTTCTCCAAATTTTTGATCTTCAACAAATGTCACATGATTGTACAAAGTCTTTGATTGCATTTCACATTTGAATCTACAAAAAATCTCTAGATATTAGTTCCAAAATTTTATTGTATTCAAAATATTCAACTGCTGAAAAGTTATGATAAGCCTGAAGAATGTGTAATTGTGCTTTACCTTTTGGAATATATATATATATATATATATATATATATATATATAGAGTACATCATTATTGAATTCAAACTTAGAAATATCTTGAGATTGAGAAGAATTATTTTTAATATCACAAATAAGAAGATTACAAGACATACTTGATTGAACTTGCTTAAAGATGGAAATGTTCTAACTTCAAGAGAATCATTTTTTATTGATCAAAAGATGCATTTTTTTCTTTTAATACAAGATAAAAATATCTAAAAAGAGTGTCTAACAAACCTTGTTATTTTTTGTATCAATAAATAATCTTGAAATCAAATCTTGATAAAGACATGTTGGAATGGACTTGGTAACAATTCAAACCATGTGCTAACATAAAATACTTAAGGTTCTTGTGATCCGTATACATAGTATCATGATATAACATAGCTAATAGATAAAAGAGTGAAAAAATATTATATCATAGAAGATCTTATTTCAAAATATTATAAAAAATTATCTTATGAATATACATAGTAGTTAAAAGATAATAAAACTAAAAGTACAAATATTGCCTTTTTATAAAGTAGGCTTCTACTTACTTTGTAGAGCCATAATTAAGACAAAATAAGATAGATTAAAAAAATAAAGAATATAAGCATATATATAAGAGAATTAAGAGTTGATTTTAGTAAAAATTATCTCAAAAAAATAAAAATTGATATTTGAAAAGGACTTGTTGCCAAGAAGAGTTGAAATCAAATCCCAAAGCACAAAACCACATACCTACAATAATTCTAAGTTTTTTTTGCAAATCAAAGAATGGAATTCAAGAGAAGAATTCATTGAATTTTTTTAAGTATGGATTTTGGGAAATTTGATTTTGTAATGATTTTATAAGAGCTTTGCAAAGTCAATGTTATTTTTAGTATATTTGGTTTTATGAAATAAAAAAAGATTTATATTTGGATAAATTTTATAAGTTTGGTAGTAGATCTATAAGTAAAAATTTGTAGATTTGTGAGTATATTTGTTTTTTATTGTGCATGGTAAATTTGAGTATGATTAAACAATTAGATTAAAGGTTATTGAAGTTTAAGTGGATTAAAATCTCAAAAATTGGATTATGAGGATTAATGAGCATTTTTAAGTTTTTTAAAAGTTTAATGATTAGATTTATGTAAAATTTATATGTGTGGATAGTAAAATTGATTTCTAATATATATGTGAATTTTGAAAGGTATTTAATGGTGAAATTAAGAGATTTTGGCTTAAGAAGATTGTCATCTAGATTTGATAAGGAGGCTGATTAAAACTCAAGTAGAATTTAGAATTTATCTTCTATTTGGTAAATTTGATCTTTTTAAAAATATTTGTGCTTCATGTTAGCTTGGTTCTTCAGAGATATACAAAATTTTAATTGAAATAAATAATTTGATTATTAATTACAGAGATTTTAATCTGTCATAGGATTTATTATAAATTTATTTAAGATTTAGGATTAATTTAGGATTTAGAATTTATTTAGGATTTATTTAGAATTTTGTTGGGATTTATCTAGAATTTGATTAGGATTTGTTTA